ACCACCACACCCCCCCCCCCACCCCCACCACCACCCCACACCCACAACCCCCACCACACCCACACCAACCACACAACCCCCAACAACACACACCACAACACACAACCCCACCACACTCACCCCCCCAAACCACCCACCCCCACCCACCCCACACCCAACACCACCCCCAACCCACCCCCCCCAACCCACAACCCCACCACAACTCCCACCCCCACCACACCCCCCCACACCCACACCACAACAACAAATGTGGGAGCCTGTGAGGGATGTGATGATGAGAGATGTGATTGAGAGCGCGAGTATATGACGATCGGGTTGGAGAGGCGAGAGGGGAGAGGGGGGCGGAGAGACACGAGGGATGAGGTCGAGAGTAGGCGAGTCGAGAAGGGGAGTGAGAGTTGGAATGAGCGGTGGGAGGAGAATGTCCAGACCGTTGAAGAGTGGAGATTGGGTGAAGTGTGGAGCCGGGAGGTGAGACGGAGAGTGAGGGAAAGATGAGGAGGATGGGGGGGGGCCGGTGTGGGAGAATGAGGTAGAGTGAGAGTGGGATCGTGAAGGAAGAGGGAGAGTTGGAGGATGTGGAGCGGATTGGGGGTGACGGAGGGGGAGGGAGATGAGGAGGAGGATGATTGGGAGCGGGAGGTGGCGAGAGACAGCGAGGGAGCGGATGAAGAGAGAGGGAGGGGTGAGAGAGGGATTGTGAGGGACTTGGGAGTGAGAGACGGTGAGGAGATAGTAGAGCGAATGAGAGGACGACGAGGAGAGGGAGGACTGCGCGAGAGCCGAGGGGTTGGGGATATGATGCTACGGACGTGTGAGCCGATGAGGGGAGGGAGGGGTCGTTGACGTGAGAGGGAGGGAGTGCAGAGAGATGTAGAGGGAGGGTCTGAAGGTGAGCTGGGAGGCTGTGCTGTGGAAGACGGTGCTGAGATGGTGAGAGGACGGACGAGGGAGCGGGGGTAGGACGAGGACGAACAGGGGCCGGGTGAGGTGCCGATGAGCGAGGTGGGATCGCAGTATTGTGGCGAGAGAGACTAGAGGAGGGATAGAGATCGAGGGTGGAGAGAGGACGGGGGGAGTGGCCGGGAAGGTGATAGGGGAGTGGGGAGGAGGGGAGCGTGAGGGTGAGAGCGTGAGAGAGGAGAGGGTGGATTGTGGGGAGAGGATGCAGGAGGCGGGATGGGTTTGAGGAGGGTTGAACGGAGAGGCGGATGTTCGAGCGGGATGGGGAGAGAGTGCGGAGAGGGAGCGGATTGAGAGAGTGAGCTAGACCGAAGGGCGGCTGTGAGCGGAGGGGCGAGGACTTGGGAGGAGAGGTGGCAGGGCGGGAGTGAGGGGACCGGTGAGAGAGGAGATGGGAGAGGGAGTATTGGAGATGGATGAGGGAGTATACTGGGTTGCGGGAACAGAGACGTAAGGTGAGGAAGAGAGGAAGTGGGAGGGAGAGGAGAGGGCGACGGGGGAGGAGAGAGAGGTTAGAGAGCGGGGAGAAAGAGAAGAGGTCGATTTTTTGGGAGGATTGATGGCGACGCGAGAGATTGAGGAGGAGGAGGGGGTGAGAGTAGAGAGAGGGAGGTGCCGCTGAGCGAGGGTCTGGGGTGATGACGATTTCCGAGGAGATGGAGAGTGGAAGGAATGAGAGAGCTTCGGATGGGAGCAGGTCTGGCATGCGGTGAAGAGAGTCTGATGAGAGAGGACAGAGCGTGTCGGAGTGAGGGCAGGAGCGGTATTTTGGATTGATGGAGTGACGTTGGATGTGGAGAGCAGGAGAGGAACGGCGTGCCGCTGCCCGTTCTGGTGGGGAGCGTGGAGTAGTGGGAGGGTGAGAGTTGAGTGTAGGCTGCGCGCGAGAAGGTGAAGGGGAGAGAGATTCGAGAGAGTGGAAGAGAGCGGGGGAGAGATGGAGGAGAGGAGAGAGATAGTGGGACTGAGGTATGAGGGAGAGGAGAGCAGGAGGAGCGTAGATGGAGGACGATGGGAGGGGGTGGGGAGAGTCGAGGAGATTCGACAGGGATGCTGATTTGGGAACCTGACGTGTGTGTGCGCGAGATGCCCCGGAGCGGAGACGTAAGAGTGAGGAGGAATAGGGTTGAGAGTGCAGGGGAGGGAGAGAGGGGGAGAGGGGGGGGCTGGAGACGAGAGGAGATGGATAGGAAGAAGACGGACCGCACTCCAGGATTCCGTGATGTGAGGTGAGGGAGACGGTCCTGAGGGAGACGATTGCAGGGGATAGGTGGGAGGCGAGAGTGGACCGGAGAGGCGAGGGACGAGATGAGAGAGAGCGATGACCGGGATGAGGGGAGGTTGAAGATGGTGGTACGAATGGAGGGATGGGACGAAGTCGATCGGACTTTGAGGACGGTGAGAGGAAGGACGAGAGAGGGCCGAGAGGAGGTGGGTGAGGGGGGAGTGTGTAGCGTTCGAGTGACGTCGACTGCGATAGAGATGGGACGGCCCCCGAGACGGGGCGAGGATGACGAGACGAGAGAGAGAGCTGAGAGAGAGGAGGTAGCGAGAGGCGTGCGAGATGAGAGGAGGAAGGAGCGTGCGGGCGAGAGCGAGGGTGAGAGAGTTATTGAGGAGCGAGAGGAAGAAGAGGAGCGCGTGAGTGGTGCGAGAGCGGACGAGAGCCAGTGGAGAGAGAGAGAGAGAGAGAGAGAGAGAGAGATGAGAGAGAGAGAGAGGGAGAGAGAGAGAGAGAGAGAGAGGGAGAGAGAGTTGACAGACAGACAGACAGACAGACAGACAGACAGACAGACAGACAGACAGACAGACAGAGAGAGAGTGAGGGAGAGACAGAGAGAGAGAGAGAGGGAGAGAGAGACAGAGAAACTAAGAGAGAAGAGAGAGAGAGACAGACAGAGAGAGAGAGAAACAGAGAGGAACAGAGAGACAGAGAGAAAGACAGACAGACAGAGACAGAGAGAGAGTGAGGGAGAGACAGAGAGAGAGAGAAAGAAAGAAAGAGAGAGAGAGAGAGAAAGAAAGAGAGAGAGAGAGAGAGAGAAACTAAGAGAGAAGAGAGAGACAGACACAGAGAGAGAGAAACAGAGAGGAACAGAGAGACAGAGAGAAAGACAGACAGACAGAGACAGAGAGAGAGTGAGGGAGAGACAGAGAGAGAGATAGAGAGAGAGAGAGAAAGAAAGAAAGAGAGAGAGAGAGAAGAAACAAAACAGGGTGTTATAAGTATGGATTCTATTGGAGTCAATTTGTAGTTTCATACGCAAATCAAGAAAACAGTCGAAATGAAGGAACTATAGGAAAATACAGCTTTTGAAAGAATAATCAACTCCCATTTTGACATGTTGGGATTATATTTTGTTGAATTGTATTGAAAAATGTGAATCCAAAATGTGCAAACACAAATCTTCAGCAGATCCTTCATTGTTTAATTACTACAGTTTCATATTCAAGTTAGTTTGAATAAAGCTGGGGGACTTTTTTAAGCTAATACATAAAACAGAAAGTGGGTTCTCTAACATGACTAAGAAAATGTTGTTTCTTTTGCATACTTGTAGACAGAGCCATGTACAAGACTATTGTGTTGTGTTACTGCAAATGGCAAATAAACTTAATCCCAATCTTAATCTTTGTGGGCTCTCTTTTTCACTTTTCTGTCTGAAAAAGCTGATCCAGAGACATGACTGAGGACAAAAGTCACAGGTAAGTGAAAACAAGCGATAGAATCAAAAGAGAGGTTGTAACTAGTTCTATTGGATCTAATTCATTGTTTTGTGTTTTGAAAGTCAGGTACCTCAACTTTGGGTTTTCACACTGAAATTCAATGCAAAAATAAGAACATATTTTGTCTATTCAAATGTAGAGCCACTGTCAAAAGGCATCTCTTTTTGTCTCGTCAAAGCCTCAGAAAACATCAATCCTCTTTTCTGATCATCTACCTTCCGACTTTATCATCTCAAACCAGTTTCTCTAAGAAAATGACGCGCTTTTCAACGCTCGCTGAAAGCTGTGACAAAAGCAAAGCATATAGAAAAAAAAGAGAGCGATTTGGGAGACGAAAAAGAAAATAAAAAAGACTTGAATGCCTAAATGTCAGCGCGTAACCCGAATCCCCGGCTCTTGACTAAACAATGGCGCTGTTCTCTCTGGATGCACTCAAAGAGCTCTCAGTTCATTCCGATTGAAACGTAAACCTTTTACGTAAATCACAAAAAAAGGCTGAAAAAAACCCCCTGAAAGCTCTAAGCATCTTTCACTCTCTCTCTCACTCTCTCTCTCTCTCTCTGTAGCTGTCTGACTGTCTCTCTCTCTCTCTCTCTGTCTCTCTCTGTAGCTGTCTGTCTGTCTGTCTGTCTCTCTCTCTCTGTCTTTCTCTCTCTCTCTCTGTACCTGTCACTCTCTCTCTGTCTCTCTCTGTACCGGTCACTCTCTCTCTCTCTGTCTCTCTCTTTCTCTTTGTCTCTCTCTCTTTCTCTCTGTCTCTCTCTCCGTCTGTCTCTCTCTCTCTGTCTGTCTGTCTCTCTTTATCATTCTGACTCGTGGTCTCTGTCTCTCTCTCTGTCTGTCTCTCTCTCTCTCTGCCTGTCTCTCTCTGTCTGTCTCTCTCTCTTTCTCGCTCTCTTCTCTCTGTCTCTCTCTCCATCTGTCTCTCTCTGTCTGTCATTCTCTCTCTCTTCTCTATGTCTCTCTCTCCATCTGTCTCTCTCTCTCTTCTCTATGTCTCTCTCTCCATCTGTCTCTCTCTCTTCTCTCCGTCTCTCTCTCTCTCAATGTCTCTGTGTCTCTCCCTCTGTCCGTCTCTCTCTCTGCCTGTCTCTCTCTGTCTGTCCGTCTCTCTCTCTCTGTCTGTCTCTCTCTTTCTCTCTGACTCGCGGTCTCTGTCTCTCTCTCTGTCTGTCTGTCTCTCTCTCTCTCTTCTCTCTGTCTGTCTCTCTCTCTCTCTCCTCTTCTTCTCTCTCTCTCTCTCTTTTGCTTGATTATGGATGAAACGTCAGCCAAATCCAGCGGGCAGATCAGATAGGGCCCGATAGACTTGTCAGTGTCTCTGGATCACGCACTCATTATGGCTACACATTGGGAACTGATCATATCCAGCTGCAAAGGGGAAAGTGGGTCACCGCATTAAAGAGAGTGCCAGACCCTATACTTTCCCCATATGCACTGTACTGAGAACCACTGCTTACACTAGCACACATATGCACACGAGTAGTTGCCAAGTCACACTTTTTTTTTTTCTCTCCTCTTCCCCCAGTCATCTCCCGAAATAGAGTAGAGCAGGACGCAGTGTGTGCATACATGCGGGTCGACTGTTTCCATCTGGTGTGTATCTTGCATCTGTCCATTAGTCCCCCTGCCTGCACTCCCTCGCGTGGCCTCGCTGCAGAAAAGATGGTCACCAGATTTGTGTTGAGAGTGTGTTATAGAGGCGGGGTAAAGTTTCTGTTAATATTTGGATAGTCTTGGGAAAGTACAGTACAGTATAAATAGTCACAGTACCATAAGTCTAAGTCACTTTGCTGTACCCTTTTTACTTTGCAGACCCAGTAGCATAAGTTTATTTAACATTTTCACTTTGTAGTCCCAGTACCATATGTTTATTTACTATTTTCACTTTGTAGTCCATATACCATGAGTTTACGTCACTTTTTGATTTCACTTTGTAGTCCCTGCACCATAAGTTCACCTAATTAACTTTAACATTGTCACTTTGTAGTCCCAGTGCCATATGTTTACTTCACTTAACTGTGCCATTTTCACTTTGTAGTCCCAGTACCATGGTAAATGGTACTGTACTAAAATGGTAAATGTATTTACCATTTTCACTTTGTAGTCCCAGTACCATGGTAAATGGTACTGTACTAAAATGGTAAATGTATTTACCATTTTCACTTTGTAGTCCCAGTACCATGAATGTACAGTATTTAGCATTTTCACTTTGTTGTCCCAGTACCATAAATGTTCTGTATTTACCATTTTCACTTTGTAGTTCCAGTACCATAATTGTATTTACCATTTTAAAATTGTAGTCCCAGTACCATATGTTTATTTACTATTTTCACTTTGTAGTCCATATACCATGAGTTTACGTCACTTTTTGATTTTCACTTTGTAGTCCCTGCACCATGAGTTCACCTAATTAACTTTAACATTGTCACTTTGTAGTCCCAGTAGATGAAGATTCAAGATGGCGCCTCGTACGGTCGACATGGCTCTTTGCTGCTCTCTTTTTCTTTTGTTTTTACTTTTTAACTGTGCATCTGGCTGTTCCTACACCCGTGAGGAACTTATGAACATCCGACCCACCGTTCCCATGGACCTATTGCCTGTTTTCTTGGCATCTGCGGCTGATTTAGTTCATGTTCTAGCCAAAAAAGTGTGGGCCCGTAAAAGGGGAAAGCGAGGAGGCCTGCTCGTGCGTCTTAGGAGGAGAGGAGCGCGCACGGCTCTCCCCGGCATTTTTCTCTCCAACGTACGCTCACTGGGCAATAAGATGGACGAACTCAGCCTGCTCATGAGAAGAAACAAGGACTTCGCCACATCCTGTGTCCTCTGCTTCACTGAGACCTGGCTAAATGAGCGGATCCCGGACTGCGCTCTGGAGCTGCAGGGCTTTGGGCTGTTTCGCGCGGATCGCCATTGTGCGCTCTCAGGGAAGAGCAGAGGCGGAGGGCTCTGTTTCTACGTCAATACAAACTGGTGTAACGATGTGACAGTGATCTCCAAGCACTGCTCTCCTGCTCTGGAATATCTTTTCATTCATTGTAAACCATATTACTCCCCGCGGGAAATTGTTTCATTCATTCTTGCCTCTGTTTACATACCGCCATGCGCGGACGCGCGCGAGCGAGGCTCAGCGCGCACTCGCAGAGCAAGTACTGTGTATGGAACGCTTATACCCGGACTCTCTGATTATTATCCTGGGGGATTTTAATAAGGGAAACTTGAGCCAGGAATTACCCAAATACAGACAGTTTATCAAATGCCCGACCAGAGAGGAGAACACTTTGGATCACTGTTACACCACCGTGCGCGGAGCTTTTCGCGCTGTTCCCAAGCCAGCCCTCGGCTTCTCAGATCACTCCATGATACATCTGGTTCCTGCTTACAGACAGAGACTAAAGCTCTCGAAACCTGCAGTGAGGAGCTCCAAAGTGTGGTCTGATGAAGCTGTGGAAGAGCTGCGCGCATGCATGGAATCTACAGACTGGGACCTTTTCAGAGCTGCCACAGATAGTTTGGATGAATATACGGACACTGTAACGTCATACATCCACTTCTGTGAGGATAGCATCATTCCAACAAGGACCAGGGTCATCTATAACAACGACAAACCCTGGTTCACTGCTAAACTCCGGCAGCTCAGGAAAGCAAAGGAGTCTGCTTTCAGGGAGGGGGACCGCAGCGGCTACAAAGCAGCTAAATATCAGTTCAGGAAAGAACTGAAAGCAGCCAAGTCCCGGCACAGAGAACGACTACAGGAGCAGTTTGGTAACAACGATACTGCTTCTGTCTGGAGGGGCCTACGGGAGATCACCAACTACAAACCCAAAGCCCCCCCCTGTGCTGATGACCACAAGCTAGCTGACGATCTGAACTTATTTTTCAGTCGCTTTGATGCTGCCCCTGACACCTCTCCCTCCCCCACCCCCCACTACTCTAACGACCCACCCATCAGCCCTGCCCCCAGCCTAACAATAGCCGCTAAAGAGATTAAACAACTCTTCCTGAGGCTGCACCCCCGCAAAGCTCCTGGCCCGGACCACGTGTCTCCGGCCACTCTGAGACACTGCGCCAGTGAGCTTACTCCTGTGTTCACGGACATTTTCAACTCCTCTCTGCAGTCCTGCCATGTCCCGGCCTGCTTCAAATCCTCCATCATTGTCCCCGTCCCGAAGAAGCCCAGGATCACAGGACTCAATGACTACAGACCTGTAGCACTTACGTCTGTCGTCATGAAGTCATTTGAACGCCTGGTTCTCTCCCATCTCAAGTCCCTCACCTCCCCCCTCCTGGACCCCCTGCAGTTCGCCTACAGAGCCAACAGATCTGTAGACGACGCCATTAACCTGGCCCTCCACCACATCCTACAGCACCTGGACTCCCCGGGGACCTACGCCAGGGTCCTGTTCGTGGACTTCAGCTCTGCCTTCAACACAATCCTGCCATCCCTGCTCCAGGACAAGCTCTCCCAGCTCAACGTGCCCGATTCCACCTGCAGGTGGATCACTGACTTCCTGACGGACAGGAAGCAGCGAGTGCGTCTGGGGAAGAATGTCTCGGACTCTCGGATTATAAATACAGGAGCCCCACAGGGCTGTGTTCTTTCTCCCCTGCTCTTCTCCCTGTACACCAACCACTGCACCTCCAGCCACGACTCCGTGAAGCTGATCAAGTTCGCGGACGACACCACCCTCATTGGACTCATCTCCAACAACGATGAGTCCGCCTACAGGAGGGAGGTGGACCGGCTGGTGTCCTGGTGCAGTGGTAACAACCTGGAGCTGAACGCCCAGAAGACAGTGGAGATGATTGTGGACTTCAGGAAGAGCACTGTCCCCCCGCCCCCACCCTCCGTGATGGACTCCCCCATCACCTCTGTGGAGTCCTTCCGTTTCCTGGGCACCACCATCACCCAGGACCTCAAGTGGGAGCCGACCATCAGCTCTCTCATCAAGAAGGCCCAGCAGAGGATGTACTTCCTGCGGCAGCTCAGGAAAGCCAAGCTGCCTGCACAGATGTTGGTGCAGTTCTACACGGCCATCATCGAGTCCATCCTCACCTCCTCCATCACCGTGTGGTTCGCTGGAGCCACAGTCAGGGACAAACAGAGACTACAGCGCATTGTGCGCTCTGCAGAGGAAGTGATCGGCCGCAGCCTTTCATCGCTGCAGGACCTGTACGTCGCCCGAGCTCGAGGCCGGGCTGGTCGTATCACAGCCGACCCCTCTCACCCTGCACATGGACTATTCCAACCACTCCCCTCAGGCAGGAGGCTGCGGTCCATCAGGACTAGAACCTCCCGCCACAAGAACAGTTTCTTCCCCTCTGCTGTTGGACTCTTGAACACTTCTTAACCTGTCCCCCCGCCCTTTATAAAGTCACTTTACTGCCCATCATACGTCACTTTACTTCACTGTACTGCTGTCACCTTACATTGTGTGCACCATGTGCACTTGTATATTGTAAATAGTAACTGTAACTCTATTTTAAATTTAAATTTATTCTTTAGAAGTGTTTTTTATTCTTATTTTTATTATCTCTTTTTGACTGTTGCACTGAGCCAAAGCAATTTCCAAGTCTGTGACCTCCCGTTACTTACGTTGGCAATAAAAATGATTCTGATTCAGTGCCATATGTTTATTTCACTTAACTGTGCCATTTTCACTTTGTAGTCCCAGTACCATAAATGTATTTACCATTTTCACTTTGTAGTCCCAGTACCATAAATGTTCTGTATTTACCATTTTCACTTTGTAGTTCCAGTACCATAATTGTATTTACCATGTTCACTTTGTAGTCCCAGTACCATACGTGTATTTACCATGTTCACTTTGTAGTCCCAGTACCATAAATTTATTTACCATTTTCACTTTGTTGTCCCAGTACCATAACTGTTCTGTATTTACCATTTTCACTTTGTAGTCCCAGTACCATACGTGTATTTACCATGTTCACTTTGTAGTCCCAGTACCATAAATGTATTTACCAGTTGAGTCCATGCCGAGTCCAATTCAAACTGCAGAGGTTAAAGTTGGGAAACTTTTCCATTGCTGATGCACTGAGTCACAAATTCCTTCTTTGATCTTCTCAGGTTTTGAATGTACTGAATGCAGCCCTAACCCTTGAAGAATATATCCTGAAACACATCAAAAACATAACCTTTTCCAATAATATTTGTGTGAGAAATCCAGCCCCACCATTTCACGCCATCTGTTGGAAATTACCAGTGTTCCTGCGTGTTTTTCGGTTCATTCGCTCAGACTTGTTGAGGTTCAATCTTTCTTCAAACGAAAAAAAAAAAAGTTGTAGTTTTGAACGTGATCAACTGTGAGCCATGAGCAACTGAAGTGTTTGCACTAATAATATCTTGAGCTCAATAACCTTACAGAATTTAGGTCCCTCATGGTCTACCCTGTCTGTATTGAGTTTATATCTTGCCTCCGTGTCTTAATTGCTTCGCTTCGGACACGGCTTTTTCCCGAACAGCCCCAAACATGCATAAGTAAAATCCCTCAGCTAAGGTTGTCTTTACCCAGTCTTACTCATTGTCAAGAGATGGGTCCCTTGGCACTGCACTGGAACGGCACACTGATCCTGACAAGGTTCTCCCGTGGCATTGAAGGATGGGACAAACACGAAACCTCTGTGGAAAGATCAATAAAGTCTTCCTTACTGTCAGAAAGAATGTGTCTCTGAAACCAACTGAACCTGCTCTGACAAAATGTAAGCCTCCACCAGTAGCCATCTGCACATCGTCTTTTCGCATGTACACCCTGGGCTCAATCGCTCAATTTTATTTTAAGTACAGGGTGTGTTTCCCATGGGCTTTTAAGCTCAGTCTTCGGTCTTTTTGCCATAATACCCCTCTCATATGACACCCAAACTAGTAGCTTGATCTAAGCCCCCCACCCTCCCCGGACCCTTTCATGCCCAAACAACAGCCATCTGACAGCCATGGAGGAGTGCGGTCTGGCCTGCACATCTTTTTAATGGGAGGTTTACAGGCGAACAGGCAGTTTGTTCTTCACCAAGGGGAGTTTTACGTTGCTGTGTTGCAGAGGTCATGTGGAATCCATTGGACCAAAGCCAGTGGTGGATTTTCAGGGGATCTCAGCATGCTAGTCTGCAGACAGAGACAAGGAGAACATAATAACTTGTTGGGAAATTTGAGTATGTTTGTGGAGACTAAATTTGGATTGAAGTAAATCAACTTGATGGCTGCAATTTCAGAATGCAGGACCATATTCCCATGACGTGGATTTAAAGAGAGGCATTTTTTTGTATAGCTTGGTGCAGTATCAGTAGAAAGCATCTTGATCTGCAATTCGTTGACATGAAAATTGCTGCTAATTTGCCTTTTCAGTATGTTTCCCTGGTGTCATCTGAGGGCACTCACTGTACGTTTCAAGATTCAGAAACATATGTATTAAATTGTAAATTGTAAATTGTAAATTAAACAGTTAAACAATTGCCATAGCGCAAATTAAGCAAAACATAATGAAATGTAAAACCTCCAGAGCAGATGTCCCGTATAAAATGTTGCATGGTCAGGCTGGCTGGAGAATAAACTGAGAGACAAGTCAAGCATGAAAAGCATTGGAAATGTGCACCACATTTCCCAATATTTTCTAAACATTGCATGTGATTTTTTTGCTTGAAATGCTACTTCTATTTGTCCTGGGGAAAAGAGTAAATGGGGGCCAGCTGGCATCTCGCATGGCATGTGAGGCAGCAGAAATGTGTTTAGGAAAATTGCAGCTGTTTTGTGGGGACTTTATTTGGGTTTGAACCTCAGTCTATCATCCAAATAGCTCAAATAGCCCCCGGCACAGTGCTATTTATGACCGTGGATGTACTTATGGCCGACAGTGGTAGCACAGCCCAGCGTGACCCCATCCTCTGCAAAAACACCCTCCATGATTCTAAAAACCCATTCAGTTTAATTTGCTTAGAGTGCCGTCACATTCTCTTCACTTATCGCAGCTCAAGTAGTGACAAATGACACAACTGAGAGAGCTCATAATATTGTCTACCCTTTAAAGGCAAACAAGTTCATGCAACTCAAAATAAATCGTGGAAATGAAGGGAATGGCCTGAAGAGAACAAACAAAAGAAGTTTTTGTTAGAGGGGAATCTGAAACTGTGATGGTAATGAATAATACCCCAAAGACCATCAAAACAAACACGAAGATTTGAAGCGAAACATGAGATGTAAAGTTGTCTTCTAAGTCAAGTTTGGAGATGATCTCACTTTCATTATTCATCAATGGTGTTCACATTGTTTGATTCTTTCATGGTAGATCTTCAAAGAAAGTCTGTGAAACATTCTCTGCAAACTGGATAAATGATAGTCAACTCTGGAAAATTCCAGATCAGCAAGATGACGGATAATTGGTATTTTTACCTCTGCACTTTTGTCCTTAGTCCTACCCACTGTGTGACAACATGGCTGACCACCGATGTACCTACGGGATAAGCTTTGACCAATCAGCGAAGAGGATTGTTCATGGACATGTATTGAATTGTCATGTTAAAGAATGTGAAATAATATCTTAATTAAACACGCATGAAGGATAAAGTTGGTCTCGCAGCAAGCTAGCCGATCCTGAACCAAACAAACTGCTCCTAACCCTGACATTACCCAAACATAACCTGATTGTGACAAAATAAAAGCTCCATGCTAAAGATTTTAGCGAGCACTATAGCTATTCCCGCTGTTGACGTGATGATGTCATTACTCAGCACCTGCGCTGACAAAACATTTCCCATATTGTCCATGAACTACCTTAATACCTGTAATGATTATTACTTCACAGTGAATATAATAGTGCATACAAGCCTTAATTGCTTTTTAGGCTTTTCAACTTATTATTCTAGCAGTACAATGGCCAACGTATGTGTATGAACGTGAAGAACAATAAACACACATATTCACAGATAGAGGGGTGGAGCTTATGTCAGCAGTACATTTGAATGAGTGGGAGGGTTTGAAGTCTATAAGCGTTTGCTTCATCCAACCTTGATTGATTGATGTCATTCAGACCCAACAATTAGTTATTGAACAATAAATCCATAGCGTAATTATTGTGACAGGCCGACATGTTGCTCTAGGTGTTGCTCCAAAAGCGATGTATGGACAGACCAAGTCGTTGTGACTATATAGGCTGTAGACAAACACACAGACGCTGGGGCAGCTTGGGAAAAACGAATATGATTGGAGTGGACAGCGAGTGTCACCCCGTGGGGCGAATCGTCTGTGTCATGATGCGTAATGGGAGGCTCGTCTGAGGAGGTGTGGATGTGTGTGCGCGCATGTGTCCTGGTGTCGCATGGGTCAGTCGTGAGCAACGCCCATGGGTGCTATGCATTGATTAGTGTCTGAGTGGCGGTCAGGTCCGGAGCCAGAGATGGAGTGGTGATGACAGAGGGGCGCAGAGGTACTTGCAGCTCTGAGTGACGCCTTCAGGGACATGCAGAGCGTAGGAGGATGCAGCCACTTATATGCGCTGGTTGTGTACAGCTTGCTTAATAGCTTTACATTGTGTTTTCTCCCGCCAGGTTTTGTCTCGTAGGGTCGCCGCTGGTAACCGTATTAACCTTTTAGTGTGCAGTGAAAAGGGTCTTTCTTGACACAACACAAATGTAAGCTGGCTGTTGACCTCAAGCTCGCCATTAAGTGCAGTGTTACAAACTTTACATATAGCAGTGAGTTGATGTAGACTGTCCTGGAAAAGCTTCTCTGACCTTACTTCTTCAACGAGTTGCACACAAGGAAGATCAACGGTATTGCTGACCCTGAAACAAGTACAACATGAAGTACATAATGGACCAATGCACTATGCTGTGTATACTCAAAGTTCAAGTGGCAGGCATGGGTCAAAAACAGAGGACATACTTCCAAGGATTAGTTTACTATGGCAACAAAGAGAAAATGTGCTATGTTATTTAGTGGTAACATTCTAAAAGCTTCATTTGTTGTAATAATTGCCATTGGTTCCATCCATAATGCATTCCAGTGTCTTGAAATACACACATGAGTACAGCCATTCAATGACATATAGTATTGAATGGCTTCAATAGTAATGTCTATAACCGCTCTACACACTATTCAACCCTTTAATGGAAAGACCTTGAGTAATCCTTAATCCATTTGTTATTTTGATCACTGTACTATTCATGGAGAAGTATCGGCAAAACATACAAGCTAACAACTAATACTCTCCAATAGCTCTTTTGGAAAACCTATTCTTGCAAAGAATATTGATTCAGGTTTTGTAACGCATGGCCCAATGA